TACTTCCCAGAAAGCACAAATATTTGCATGTTGTGACCTCAGCTCCTAAAGGCCTGATAAGTAACCAACAAATCAGTGTACATGTTTACACTAGACATTCTAGATACGTTAGGTAATGAGAGCTCCGGGCTGGATAAGCCCTGCTCAGATTGCTTGGACCTGGAACTACAAAATTCCGAATTTATCGTCCTGCTATCCAAAAATAAACACATTCACTCAGCAAGGACCTGGGGCTCACGAAAAATTATCAGAGTTGTGCTTTCCTAATTCCCATTATAAAGCCACCCTATGCAAACACAGTCCTATTTTACTTGTATCTCCTCATCAGCTTGTATTATTTAAAACATGTGGGACATTCACACAGATGGAAAAAAAAAAATAGGTCAGGCTGGAAACAAAAGCCAAGCCATTCTGTTTTATTAGCAGATTAAACATGCAGAACTGTAATTTGAAATACCAAGGAAAGCAACTTAATGAAAACATTCTGAACACCCAGATTAAAAAAAAAAACAAAACCTACTGCAAATTGTTGCAACCTTTAATTGCCATGATGCCAACTGAATTAGACCAAGAACACAACCGGTAAAAAGGTTTGTCTTGTCCATCTGATTTGAAAACACACAGAGAGAACCACATCGCTCAGTGACTGCACGGAATCCGGGACATAAATCTAGGAATTTTCTAACATCAGCAGCCAATACAACAGTCCAATTCCTTTGAAACACTGTAGGACGCTGAACATTTGCAAAAATCCAGTCCTTTCATTTGCAAAGACCCTACCTTTAAATTAATTTATTCCTTTCCTGACACCGACCTCTGAAACACTTATTCATTTCCCTTTTATCCTCTGCATAACCACACCATTTGCTACCGAAATATGTAAAGCCCAAATACAAATCGGTGCACTCAATTTAATTTAGTTATTCGAGCTGAATGTCCCGAACATCATTTGATTGCTGCCACCTATTGTTGTTCCAAACATGTTGCAAGGAGTTAACCCTTTATCCAGCAGCTACTGGAAGTCCTACTGGCAACAATATTTCTGTCTTTGCTGTTGCTAAATATGCAACTGATACACCTGTTTGGCCATGATAACTCTAGAAACTATGAATAAAGGTTGAAAATGAAGGTGTATAGAGATGAACAAATCTAAAACAGATTGGCCACAGGCAGATCACTTCCTCCCCTGTCCCCTTGATTTATCAATTAAGAACTTGATCACCTATCAATGCTGGCAAAATTCAAAGAGTACAAACCAACCAAACAAAAGAGTGCAAGTAAACAGCACCAGACATATGTATGTGAACTATTTAGTTTATTTTTTAAAAGTAAGGTGTGTATACACACTAACTTCTCCATTAACTTAAGATTTGGCTTTTGCACTCACAAGAGAAGTAAATCCTGGAACTGTAATTCTGGAACAGTCACTCCTCACACAGTCCATTTAAAATGACAGTTCTAGGTTGCCAAAGGCTACTTAGTTCTGTCTCCTCATAAATGTAGAGCTTCACATAATGTCCAGGTTCATCTAAAATGTTAAAGAACACAAAAGACTAACCCATCAGCCTTTAGTCCGCAGAGTATTAATTTAGTATTATATTTTAAGTATTAAAACAGCAACTTAGCCACTGAACATGAAATTTGAGGAGGTCATTATTTCAAAACCTGAATTCCCTGAATATCATGTAAATGAGTGGAAATTATTTTCCAGAAACATGGGAGGCAAAAGACCACCTCTAGGCTGTGGTTTCCCCTGCCAGGAGTCTTTGCTCTTAACCACAAGAACTAAATCTCCCCGAAAGGGAAAATTTTGGCCCATTGCAAATTGATCATTTTCTTTTCTGCAACAGGAGGTTGAAGATGTCTGAACAGAGATGCCACTGGACCCAAAGGCACCTCTGGAAGGTAACTCAATATCCAGCTGCTGGTCATTCCCACACAGCTAAATGGAATTCCCAGCACACACAGGCAGGACACCCTTGTTGAAGCAGCTGACTACAAATACAGGAGTCTAAATTTCCAAAGACTATGAAAACATGGGCATAGCTGTCAAGAGGGGGGTTTTTTGAGAAAGATACTGCATGTTTATGGCCATCATCTGTGGGACCACTGCTTAATAATATAATAGTCAGTCAGTCAAATATTCTCAAGGGGAAGGGAATGACATGGCAGTCAGCCTGGAGGCTCAAACAGCAAAGTGGTGGACTCCTGCAAGGGGTGAATTCCCACCTCTGGGCAGTCATTTGACCTCTCCAGCTCAGCCTCTTTCACACACAAATGTCAAGGGGTAATTCCAATGCTTACTGCTGGATCAAAGCATCTCCTGCTCCCCCCTCCAGCTGCTCCTTTGCGCCTTCTCTTCTTTTACAGCCTTTATCTATACATTAATGCCAACAATCCCTCATCACAATCCATTTAAAACTTCATTTGGCTCTGAACTGATAGATCCAATTATACTTAAGTGGCTAAAACGGGACCTGGCACGGGTCCACAGTGGGCAGGGCAGTCTCCAGCGTGCTGCAAAACCGGCGTGAAAAGGCATCTCAGAGAGGAAAAGGGAACAAAGACTACAAGGATATGGAAGACGTTCAGCTAATGCCCCCAGTGAAGGAGCTATCAAAGCAGGGGTGTTGAAAGCAGAGCTAAAAACCAGGACTGCAGGGAATCAGCCAAAGCTCCCTCCTTTAACACTCCTCACAAAGCCGCAACAGCGACCGTGATTGATATTACAGCAGAATAAACTACAGGCACATCTTTCATTCAGCTCCAGAGCCTGTCTCCCGTGTAAGAAGGGCCTTCAAGACGAGCAGTGAAGGCAGCTGTGCTCCCAAATCCTGCCCTGCCTTCCTTGCCTGCAGTGGCAGAGGAGCCACACGTGATCTCCTCGCTGGCCACACAGGCTGCTGCTGCTAGGAGGAGGAGGAGGAGGAGGAGGAGGAGGAAGCCCTCCCCTTCCGCCAGCTCTGCACATCCCTCATCCCATCTGCAACAGCAGTGTGATTCCTCTCACCCCGCCTGACAGCGAGGGGGATGCTGTCAGCAAGGAGCAGGAACCTCCCTCCCCCTTCCAAAGAGCAGCTGGAATCGCTGGTTTGTCTACCGGGAATGCTCAAAATACGGCTCCCGTTGGAATCGCCGAGTTTTGTCCCCGGGTTTGGGAGACCAGAGCACACAGCTGAGCAGGGCAGCGCCAGCACAGAGGGGAGAGAACAACTATTCCTTTCAGCAGCTGCCCACAACAGCCTTAAGCTTAACATCACATTCCACCTTAAACCCCAAGTGAGGTGGATCCAGGAAAAGCCCCGTTCTCTGTCAGCAAAACTCGGCTGCCTGACGTGCAATCAAAATGAGGTCGAGATTTACAGATCCAGGGGTGTGCCCTGACCCTCTATAGGTCAAAACAGATCTGAAACTACACCCTGTTCAGGCTCTGAAACACCCTCCTTACATCCTCCTCACCTGTTTTCCCCCTATTTTAGTTCTTAGCCTAGAGAAACCGGAATAAAGATGCCAATAGCTCCAATGCCAAGGAACTCTGGGGTATGGGAAGTCAGTCCTGCTGCCTGAGACCAAGAATTAACAGCTGGTTGGAAATCTGAAGCTGGTGTCACACAAGGAAAGGGAAGACAGGAGAAGGGAAACAGAAAGAAGAGTAGGAGAAGACAAAACTTTGCTGGATTCCCTCAGACCAAAGTTAATCCTGCAGTTATACAGAAGATGAAGGATGCTTTGGAAAGCATCTGACAGTTCCAGCCCTCCCAAGAGCAAGTGAAATGAACTGTTCACTTTAATGACATCTTCTGAGGGGGACCTGACCACTTTCTGCATGTGAAAGGGTTTAATTATCCCAAGAAAAATAATTTGCAAAGAGATCAGTGCTGATTGAGGGAGGCCTTGAGATGCAGACTAGCAGAACCTCGAGGACTCAGAGAAAACAGAACTCCACACTACCTCTTTTTTTCTGTGTCCAGGACATTCATGATCGACCAAAACCACCTCAGAAAGGACAGGAGGGGTCAGACCCACCACTACTTTCCCTGGCAAAGGGACAGGGGAAATGAGAGGGCTTATAAAACAGCAGATAGCAGAAAAGTCCTGTTCCTACAGAGCATTTGCCTATTTAGGCACAGAGCTTAAAATAAGAGGTCGTAATGAAAATACTTCTCTTTAAAGAAATGCCCAAGAAAACTCTGATCAGGTATCAATTTTCCCCTTGCTCCCCTAAGGTGCTGTGCTGCAGCTCAACACCCTGCTGCCATCCCATCCTCTTTTCCCCTCACACACAGGTCCTGGTTACCAAGCAGCAACTCCAGACAGACCCCTAGACCTCCACCCCTCGCTCCAATCTCCTTTAACAGGCAGCTCCCAAACCCCACTCATGGATTTAAACACATCACAATCTAAGGTACAGCAGAGAACAAGGAGCCACGTGTTAAAGTCAGCTCTTCATCATTCCAGCACTGGTGATTCTTCTACAAACCAGAGAGCAGGGCCTGAACTTAACACTTCTTTCTCAGCATGGAGCTGCTCTTTCTAAGCCTCCATGGCACTGAAACACATTCACCCCCCAAAAAAAAAAAAAAATCACCAAAGGATAACTGAGATTTACTCATATTTGGAGAATAAAACCCCCAGGACATCCCCACTGCAGACATACCAAGGGCAGAACTGCAAATCAGCACCAGGGGCAGGGACGAGGAAACGCCACTTGGGGACCAGCTGAGGGGCTTATCCAATTCATGGCTATTTTCAAATCACAGAGAGAGACAAGTGCTGTTTTAGAAAAGTCAGCAAAAAATTAAAGATCAGATTGAAAACTGACTCATCTGTGCAGATCGTTTTTGCTATTGAGGTGTTATTACTGGTCACACACCACACAGAAGGCCTTGAAATTACCCACCTCCTGTCACGCTCCACCCTGTTCTGGTGGTAATTAAGCAGCTCAGAGGGTAAATTGCCATTTTAGATTGGATACCTGCGATTTGGAGGTGGGAACTTACTGTTTACAATGTCCCCTTGCAGCTGGAGAATTTGTGGAACGGGAATGGTGAGAATAACCACATCAAACCGCTCCGGCAGCCCCACTTTCCGGGAGACTTCCCACTTCCCATCTCGGAGGGAGATGTGAGTTACGTGCTGCTCATACAAGACATCTGCACCTGTGTGGGAAAAGGAGTGGTTAAGTCCATGTCCCAGTGAATTCCAGAGAGAAAATGAAGAGTGGTTTCTCTGAAGCCAGGCTGGGAGAGCTGGGGGTGTTCAGCCTGGAGAAGAGAAGGCTCCAGAGAGACCTCAGAGCCCCTTCCAGGGCCTAAAGGGGCTCCAGGACAGCTGGAGAAGAACTGGGGATAAGGGATGGAGGGACAGGACAAGGGGGAATGGCTTCCCACTAATAGAGGGCAGAGGATTAGATGGGATATTGGGAAGAAATTCTTCCCTGTGAGGGTGGGCAGGCCCTGGCACAGGTTGCCCAGAGAAGCTGTGGCTGCCCCTGGATCCCTGGAAGTTTCCAAGGCCAGTTTGGACGGGGCTTGGAGCCACCTGGGCTGGTGGAAGGTGTCCCTGCCCATGGCAGGATGGGGAACACCATGAGCTTTAAGGTCCCTTCCAACCCAAAGCATTCTGTGATTCTAAGATTCTATAATTCAGCTCAGTAAACAGAGGGAGAACCCCCAGCTGCTCCTCTCTTTGCCAGGTTATTTACCCTGGCTTTAGTGAGCTGAACAAATCCAGAGGGAAATCCAACAAACACAGGAGGTGGCACAGGGTAAGCAATCAAAGCACACCTGAGGAGCTGAGAAAGACAGCGCTGTCCCTGTTAGCAACTGGAGGCAGGGACATGGTTAATTATTTGCAAGATTAGTGTCTAAAAAAAACAGCTAATTAAAAAAATTATAACAATCACACAGAAGGACCGAAGCCTGAGTGCTCTTAGAACTCCTATTTTTCAAACCAGGGTTAAATTAGTCACTGAAATGCACACCTGGTTCTACCACACCTAATACACTAGTTACATGGTTTAAACTAAGTTTAAACCGGCAGGTGATCTCCTCCTCTGGCCTTTTCTAAAGGATAAGCACAGGCTTATCCTCCAAAACACAGCAATAGTTCACCACTGTGCTCCCAGTTACACAGCAGTCAAGCACCCACTCAGAAAAAAGCCACCCAAACACTCACTTCATTCCAGCTGCAACTCAAATCTCTTCCTAACCTCGATCTCCCACTAAATTATCTTGTCCTAATCGTGCTAGGCCTGACTTCCACATGCTAAAGTCACCGGTGTAAATACAGGCTTGGCCCCTGAGCCTACAGAAGTTCTATTTATATAGGGATTTTTACATGCTAGGCCTGCAGGACTTGGAAACTCACAGAGCTCCCAGGCATGTTTATCTATCCAAGCCGACTTCCAGGCATACATAAACAAACAAGGAACTTAAACATCCTCCTCGGAAATTTAAATTCGAAAGACAGTTCAGGAGTGCCGTCATTAAAACCTTTCATTTCACACAAAGGCATCTAAAAAAAAAAAGTTACCTGACTGTTTTAAATAATACTTGACAACCGAAGAGATGCCCTGGGGTGCCACATAGTTGCAGGAGCCTTCCCTCACCACCATTCCTTCCACGGGAGCAGTCAGCGGTTTCAAGACGCCGTGAGACAGAAGTTCCTCATAGAAGCTTGAAGGGGAGAGGGAAAATACACAGAGGTGAAAACTCGCTCCATTTTTCCACAGTTAAAAGTTTAGGCCAGGGCTAACTTTTCGAGTTTAGCTTTTAGCAGGCTGTGTTTCAAGGCAGGTAATGCACAAACACAGCTGTAAAACCACCAGCTACCTTGGTATCGTGCTGGGTCTGGCCTTTCACCTGAGAGCAAGGCTGCCTGTAGCGGGACTTACATCGCTGCTACATCTTCCTCAAAGCACAACAAATCACCTCCAACTCTTTTTCTCAACTCATGCCGGTTTCCCAAGCTTTTATCCCCCCGTTATCTCTCCGTGATTCCGCTGGCGGGGCACCGAAGGGTCGTTGGGTGGGGTGAAATTAAAGCACGACACCTGTGCCCGCAGCGAGCCCGAGCAGCTCCAAACCCACTCCCAAAGCTCACTTCCCACCTGCGCCGGTAGAGAGAGGGGCGGGATGAGCGGGACGGGGGCGGGATGAGCGGGATGGGGCGGGATGGGGTGGGATGGGGCGGGATGGGGGGATGGGCGGATGGGGCGGGATGGGCGGGATGGGGATGGGATGGGCGGATGGGGTGGATGGGCGGGACGGGGCGGGTCTCACCTGTGGCGCGGCCCCGCCAGGTCCGTGTCGCAGGTGACGAACTGCGCGCCCAGGTCGGCGCTGCCCAGGTCGGCGCTGCCCAGGTCGCCGCGGGTCGTGCTCATGCGGCCCCCTGCGCGACAGCCAGTCAGACACCGACACGACACACCACACGACATGACACGACATGACACGACACGACACGAGCCCTGCCCCGCCGGACCCACCTGCTCCCCGCGCCTTGTCCCAGACGGCCGCGGGTCCCCGCGCCCCCCGCGGCAGCAGCGCCGCGCACGCCCCGCCCGTGAGCCCCGCGCCCACCACCAGCACCCGCGACATGGCCCTGCCGCCCAAAGCACCGCCCCCACGGGGCGGGGGAGCGGCGAGGGCACGCCCGGGAGGGATCGGACCCGCCCGCGGGCGGAGCGGGGAGGACGCGGCCAAAAACATCGCGTGTGTGCGCGGATACGCGCGGGTAGATTTGTTCGCACATCTGTACAGGCACAGCTGTACGGGAACGACTGTACGCACGTCTGTATACACACACCTGGACAGGCTGTACACACACATCTGTACATCCTGCGACACACACACCTGTACGCACGTCTGTATACACACACCTGTACAGGCTGTACACACACATCTGTACATCCTGCGACACGCACACCCGTACACACACACCTGTATACACACACCTGTACAGGCTGTACACACGCATCTGTACATCCTGTGACACGCACACCCGTACACACACACACCTGTATACACACCCTCCTTGCGTGCCCGTACCACCCCCCGAAAACGCGTGTGCACACGCATCCCCTCTGCATGCACACGTGCCCACAAAGCTCTGCACACACACCCGTGCACACCCCATTCACACACACCCCTGTCCACACACCTGTGCACACACAGCCCCGCACAGACATGTCAGCATGCACACAAGGGCTGAACTCCAAGAAAACTTAGGAAGTCCTGCCCCTGGGGAGGAACAGCCCCTCCCTCACCAGTGCCTGCCAAGGGGCACCTGGATGCACAGCAGGACATGGGGATGCTGGTGGACACCAAGCTGAACACGAGACAGCAATGTGTCCTTTGGCAACAAAGGTGAACGGTGTCCTGGGCTGCACGAGCAGGGTGTTGGCAACAGGGCGAGGGAGGTGACCATTCCTTTCCCCTGCTCAGCACTGGTGAGGCCAGACCTGCAGTGCTGTGTCCAGTTCTGGGCTTCCCAGGACAAGAGAAAGTCCAACAGGAAAGGCTCCAGCAAAGGACCAGGAGGATGGTTAGGGCACCAGAGAGGTGGGACTGCTCAAGCAGGAGCAGAGAAGGCTCACGGGAAGGGTGCCATAAATACCCAGGTTCTTCTCAGTGGTGATCAGGACCGGAGACAAGCGGCAAAATGAAACCCCAGAGTTCCCTCTGAACAGCAGGAAACACTTCTTTACTGTGAGTGTGACCAAGCAGCATTGAAATTTGTCCAGGATGGATCTCCATCCTTGGAGATATTCAGAAGCCATCCGGTCGTGGTCCTGGGCAAACAGCTTTATGTGGCTCCATGTGAGCACTGGGGGATGAACAAGATGACATCCAGGGGTCATTCTGACTTCAACCAGCCTGTGATTCTGTGATAAGCCATCTGCAATCAGATTGACTTCATTCCAATAGTCCAGGAATGCTCTGGAACTGGGTTTGATCTCCCCTACTGAACAGCCTTTACCATAATCAAAACCTGGCCCGCTGGAGATGCTACCCAGAAGGAATTGCTGGAGGGTGTGACACCTTCCAGAAAGTGCTGATGGGCCATCTCCAACACCTGGAGGGTTTGTGTAACCGTGCATGGCACTGGCCTCTAATTTGCAAGAAGCCATGGTTTGATGTTAGGAAAGTGGGACCCAGAGATGCTGAGATTGGAGTAGATAGTGCTGAGGGGTGGTGACGTGTGTGCACCACCTCTGCCCGGGGAAAACAAATTCCCATTCTGAGAGCCTTGAGCGTGGGCAACTGGGGGAAGTATTTGAATTATTATCCTTACCCAGCTGCGTAGGAGAGAGAAGAAATTCCAGACAATTTCTGATAGGATCGTTGTGGTATGGGGGACACCAGAACCCGGCACTTTGGCAGTGGTGTTTAGCAGCAGATCGGTGTGAAGTCCCTTCTGTGAAACTTGTTGTGCCTAAGGGAGGCAGGTGCTGGTGTGATGCTCACCCTCAGTGGGAGCTCTGAGTTGACCTCAGGGCAGATGTTGTTTAATGGGAACTTCCTGGAGAAAGGTTGGAGCCCCAGTGCCCAGCCACTCTCCAGGGGAGGGACCTTTCCCCTATATCCAAGCTGTCCACGATGGGTAGTGCTCAAGTTTCCACTGTGATGGAAAAAGCTCTGTGCTCACCAGTGCACACACCACGGGGACTGCCAGCAGAGACAGCAGGAGTGTTGTAAGAGAGGGCTGCATGAGTTGGGTGAGAACTCTTGGATGTATGACATGTTCCTGCCTTGGGCTTAAACACCTACCTGAAGTATGTGGAGGTGGCAGGCGGCCCTGGATGAGGGCAGGGCCTGATAACGCTCTGTTTAGGAGCTGTGGCACAACAGCCTTGCTGGAAAGGACCTGGGAGGGGTGGAGAGCACCAAGCTGAGCAGGGGCCAACAATGTGCTCCCCCTTCAGAGGTGGAGATCCCCAGCCTGGGCCCCTGGGGCAGACAGGGCTGCCTGCGTTGGTTGTCACCCCTGCTGTTTGGTGCAAGGGAGGTCACATCTGGATGCTGTGTCCAGTTCTGGAATGCTGGGTGAGAGGGATGGGGACACAACCCCATAGAGGCTGGGAAACTGGCAGCGACCCTACGGAGGGAGGTGGATGGAGCTGAGTTCCTTGGGTACGGCCATGGGGAGGATGAGAGTGGTCTGAGAGCAGCCTGTGACTCCTCAGGGGGCAAAAGTTGATAGAGCAAAATGCCTCACTGAAGGATCAGGGAATATGATAAGGGAAGAAGTTGTTGCACCTTTGGATGTTGGCTCTGGACACATGGAAGTGAAAACTCTTCTTTTCCTGGAGAGTGGGGAGCAGCTCTGGCATCACTGCAGACATGTGGGATCTCCATCCCAGGTGATTTCCAAAACTTGGCTACTCAAAGCCAGGGTCAGTCTGATCCAGTCCTGGGAATGGTCTGGCTTCTAGTGGGGCAGCAGAGGGAGTCCTCTAGAGATCCTTTCCCACCAGCATGTCTTTGATGTCATGACCGTGTAATGAAGGTCAAGGGACTCTCCTTGATCCCGCTCAGCCTCTGCAGCGGTGATGCCTCAGCAAGAGCTGCAGGTGACCTTTAAGAGGACAGGTCATGTCGTAAGACCCGTGGTAATGTCTCACTCCTTTAGTGCTATGGGACTCTTTGAGCTCAACCTTGGCCTTGCACCTTTCAGGGAGGACGGTGCCTCCGGGTGAGTGTGACCAGAGCTGCTCTGCCCTTGCCCTGGAGCGCACACTTCCCTTATCTGTTTCCTCAGAAGATGAAACTCAAAGGTGTCTCTCACCCAGAGAAGCGTGGCTTCAGTACCCTAAACCCCAGTCCTTCTTAACCTCCAGATCTCTGAATTATGAACCAGTGTTCTACTGTGGCCATGTTTAAAGAGTGGGACCAACTGCCAGATCTGTGTGCCTTGGATGCATCTCAGGTCCATTCCAGGCTGACAGCCAGGAGACATCTTTCCCTACTGACCTTTCACCGCGATTTCCAAAGCAAAACAATCTAGGAAAGCAGGGCAGAGGACAGCCCCAGCCCTGCCATGGGTGATGGAGAGGGATGACTCTCCCTGTTGCCAGGGCACAGGTAGGATAGGATGCTTAGGTACTCTTCATATTTTCCTGTAAGGGTGTGAAGAACAAGGATATCGTGGTGGCTTGACCACAGCCAACATCTAAGCACCCATACAGCTGCTTGTTTGCTCCAGCCCCCACCCCAAAGTGGGACAAGTGAAGGGAATTGGAAGAGCAAAACTGAGAAAAACTGGGTCAAGAGAAAGTGTTGTTATGGCAAATTGGCTGTGTCCCATCCCCTGTGGTATGGGGAAAGGGAACTCCATCTCAGCCTGACTCAGTTCTACAGAAACATCATCACCTCTAAACCATCTAAGATCTGCCACTGGAAATCCATTTTAGACTTTGATCTTCCCTTGCAATAACTTAATTATGCCTCCCGTAATAAATAAATCATCTGATCATTGACGGGTAAAACTGGAAACTTTTCTTCAGCAGTATCAATTAAACCACTTTATCAATGGACATCACCTCCCTAGTTATGTGACTCTGCCTAAACAGTATTTAACCTGCCTCCACAAACAAATTCTGGGAAACTGTGCTTTCTGAACTATGGTGTTGCCTAATGATTTATATGTTCTACATTTCGGTGTGTTTACATTTGGCCTTCTCTGTTCGTGCCACCACACCCTCCAGACAGTTCAAATAGGGCTGTCTCCAGAGAGATGAGGAGCACTGCCCTGTGCACCAGCGAGAGGTGACCCTCAGTCCTCTGCTGCCGCCCTGAGCCCCCCCTCTGCCTCCTCTGCATCGCTCCCCTGCACTGCCCATCCACCCCAGGGGCTCACACCTCCCTGCCTCCTTCTGCAGGAGCTGTGCCACCCCTCGGCTGGGCTGCTTGCCTTCACTTTTGTAGAGGTGAGTGCGGGAAAAGCTTTGCTAGAGCTGGGTCTGAGCGTGGGTGTGAGCGGCGCTTGTGGCTCCAGCCCAGTGGCCCATGTCTGTCTGAGAGCAGGGGGCCCAAGTCTGATCTGCTGGGTTGGTTCTACAGGTTGGGCCAGACCGGTTTTCTCAGCCCAGTGGTCCATCACGTCGTGGTCACTGAGGGAACAACCCTGCCCAGACTTTTCAGCATCTGTTTATGGAACTGTTATCAATAACTGTGTATAAAAGATGCTGTTCCCTTTTGCCTTCACCACCTTCTGTGGCAGATGCACTCTCCAGAACACAGACTACTTTTTTAAGCTGTGTCAAACCCAGTATCATTAAGTGATGTCTAGATCTGCTGGAAGATACATTTCTCCCCGTTTTGTGCACAGATTTGCACTTATAAATGCTCTTCTCTGAATTAAATGTGATAAATTCTAATTCTTTTTCACAATAATCAAGGAGGAGGACAAGTAGTTAGAGATTTTCTTGTCATGATTGCATTTCTGTTTAGGGAGGAAATGCAGTGTTGGGGATGTGAGAGGCAGTGTTTGCACAGCCATCAGCCTGCTGGGGGGAACACTGGAATTTACCATTTAAAGTGGGACCCACAGCACGCCGTCATGGGTTGGTTTTAAAGCCATAATTAAATGCTCAATGA